CTAGATACAAGATAATTAAAGTATCATGCGCATACTTATATAATTAAATCAATAATAAGAATCATTTAATATAACAAGAGGAATTTACAAGTGCAAATAATAAATTCTTCTATTGGCAACATTGCAAACATAAATGTAAATCATACAAAAATCTGATATTTGAAAAGTGGTATTTAATGTTGAAATAAATTTAAATTTGTGTAGCGTATTAATTAATTATAATAATAAAATAATTAATATCAGATTGTAATGCATCTTATATTAACTTTTGGATTCTCAATTTCGATTAAATCCAATTCAAATCTTGAAAATGATAAAAATACAAATAAAGACAAGGTTAAAAAGCGGAAAGTACGGCAGCGTAAAGAAAAAGAAATAAATAAGAATGAATTTGAAATTACACAATCTTCGAAGAATTTTATACATGTAAGTCAAATATTAGCTGAAATACATGTGGAATACGAACTTCTTCCAAATTATAATTTTAAATTTGATTGTCGTTGTTGGGAAACAGCTACAAAGGTACACTATTTCTTTTTTTAAATTCTAGAGTAACATATACATATAACGAAAAATATTATAAAATATATATATATATATATATATATAAAATATTCTTTTTAATATTTTAATCTCTCAATTTCAACAAACGAGCTCTTTATCTAAACATTTTAATATATTGTTCTTTTTATTATTATTAATGTTAGAATTTAATGTCAAAATTTAAAAATAATATCTCCATTTTTACGTAGATCTATATCGAAAATGACGATTTTTGTTTAAGACCAGTAGTATGTCCAATTAAAAAGGATACATATTGGGTTGTATTTTCTGTTCATCATTTGGTTCACTTAAATGAAATGCAATTAAAAAAATTTTTTAACTATGTAATCATCTGTAAAATATTTTATGGGAAACAAAAATTTTCTGAAAGGTAAGTATAATAATACAAATTAGTGTTATTCAAATATATATTTAATAATTATGGAGTTATATTTTTAATTACATAATAAAAATTATGTAGTTTATGTATATATATTTTAATTTAAAAAAATTTTAGATTGCTATTACATTATTCATACAATAGTACTGTTTAGTTTTATACTATATAATTATTGTTTTAGTCCTTTTATTTCTTACATTTTTTTTTATTCAATAGAGCAAAAAAGGATAAAGTAAAAGGATTTTATATAAATAATAATTCCATACATGTAGGACGAGAAGAATTTCTTGAATTGTATCATTCTAATTCAACTAAACATTCAAGTCCATTACTTTTACAAACTATAATTACGGATGAAATTTACGGTGATTTTAGTATGACTACATATTTTGATGTAATTCCAGGTACTAAAAAATACAGTTTTTATACAAATAATTTGAAAAATATTGCATAAATAATTAACAAATTCATAACAAAATGAAAATTTTAAAAACTTTTATTAATATTATTTATATTTTTTAATGAAAATTCAATGAAAAATTTTAGACAGTATACACGAATATTTATTTCGAAAAATGTTAAGAAAAGGTTTTCCAACTGAGTCTTTAATGTTTGGATTGTTTAATATAAATTCAATTGAAGATTTAGTAAAATCATCATCAAAACAAGTTAAAAAATCTCAAGTCAAAGAAAATAAAAAAGAAAAACAAAAACAGAGAATAGAAACATATGAGATACGTTTACCGGCTGAAGTCTTGTTTTCTGGTAACTTTTACACTTCATACATACTTCGTCTTCTTAGATTTAATTTTTATCAATTTGATATGATCAGATCAGATGGATTGAACATAATTTAAGCATTCATATATAATGTTATATATTACTTATCAAAATCTAATAATTACTAAAATCTTATGTTATGTATTTATTATTTAGATATGGTTTATAGTACACTATTAAAAAAAAATAATAATAGAAAAAGTAATACTATAATGAAAGGTGTAATAATTTTAATTAAAATAAAAAAAAAAAGTATGTGAAAGAAATAAATAGCAAAAATATATCTCCCCGGCGGGGAATCGAACCCCGGTCTCCCGCGTGACAGGCGGGGATACTGACCACTATACTACCGAGGAGTGGATGGTTACACTTTTTATTTTAGTGGAATACAATTGTTTTTATTTTAGTAATAAAAATAGAAGAAAAAATATCAATACATTTTTATTTTACTTATAATTGTAGTTATTATATTCATTATTAGGTCAAAACGATTAAAATCAAAAGACTAAAACTAACTATAAAAATATACAGCTGAAACCGTGTATTAAAAACTAATAATTTAAACTTAGAAAATTGGTTTTACAATTGGGGACTATATTTAAAGATTAGAAATTATATTTGAAAATACATCCAACTATGATTGCTAATAGATTTTTGTACATCCAACTATGATTGCTAATAAATGAAATAAATATTTGTACGAAATAAACTTGTATCTTCCGTAGAACCCAATAAAACTACAAAAAAAAAAAAAGGAATTATAACGCTAGGCACACCATCGCTTTAAAAAAAATTCATGAAAATTATTAAATTTTACAGCATTCAAGAAAGAATGTCCTCTTAAGTCCTCCAATATCTGATTAAGTCTTAAGTCTTAAATATATAAACTCGAATATTAATTTTCTGCTAATTCAGAATAAAAACTAATTGTAACTTTATTTTTAGATATGGGTACAATTACTACTTATAATCGAAATACACTGCAACTGCCGTATATTTCATCCATCTTAATGTATACACAGTGTCAAAATATTTTATCAGATAAACAATTACGTATGAATTTGAATCCTATATCGATCAAATTACAGAAACTATCGAATTTCCCGGCTGATATGATAATTGAAAACGGTTTCAAGTGTTTATATATGAAAATTTTTTTTGTTGATCGTACAATTGTTACACCATGCTATATTCCAGATAAAATGATGTATTTCGAATTTATTAAGTGTTTCCTCTGTGAGGAATTTCAACCAAAAGAATTAATTAATTTTCTTGCAACAAAATTTCTTACTATCGAGGTAATTGAAATTTTGTATATACAATGACCAGAGTAATTTTTAAGAACGTATAATTTTTTAAATTAGGTAATTGGCATTCGAATTATCGAATCCTTAACTTTTACTTCCAATCAATCCGATTATGAAAAATCGATATCGAAATCACTAGAAGTACCTACGAAAGAAGAAATTTTATTGGGAGTTGTTGAATTTGATGTATCTGACCTTTTGAGAGGATTTTGGGAAGTAAAATTGACAAATAACTTAATTCATCCTCGCAACAGATTTGTTACCAATACTCACTGTAAAAATGATGAGACAATGAAGATTTCGTGGGAAAATTCACCACTTCCCACGGATATTTTCACCTTGTATAATACATCGATGAAAATTAAAATTCATCCAGCATATGATCTACGAATAGTTAAAAAAAAAATCATTCAAGATGAAAATACGTGGAACCGGATTTTTTTAAATTTGAACAATTTGGAATTGGCTAATGATATCTTGAAAGACGTATCTTTTTATAATTCCAACTTATTGACCATTTATGAATCGTCGAAAGAAAGCAATAATTTAAAAGTAAAATTTTAAAATACTTTTAAAATACTTCAACTACTTTCTAATATAATATTAATGCGAATTAATGATACAGGTACAGAATATATTGAAACATGTTTTAACGGGTTTTGCTATCGAAAACTGTGAGAAATGCTACATTTTTATAGAAGGTTTGTCAAACGGAAACTTGTTAAAAATTTGGGAGAAAATAAAAAAATTTCCAATTCAGCATAAATGTATTTATTATAACAGCAATTATATATTTCTTGCACGACTTTATGAAGATTTTATGTTTTTAGGTACAGTTATCCATATCAAATTAAGGTAAATTGAAAACAATATGTAGTTGTTTATGAAACTATTTTAAATTTTATTATACACTTTGAATTTTTATATCCCTATTTAATTATCTTAAATTATTTTACATTCTAAATTTTTACAATATACACTATACACATGTTCACTACAGCGAATATATTTATTTTGTTTAAAGCGAATCCTTGGAAATGCAACTTCGTAAATGTAATTTATATATTGGTAAAACAAAAGCAACACTTCAGTCAAATATTATAAGAAAATTAGGATTGATGAATCTAACATTAACGATGAAATCTTTATGTCAGACACGTTTATTCCCAAAATCAGATGATGTAAAAGCTTTTATAGATGACATTCAAAAAATACATTTCGCAACCACGGTATAAATTTAAGGTTTCAAATTTAAAATTTGAATTTTGCGGTGCAAAAAACATATTATACATATATACACAGATATTTGGAAAAAATCTTAAAAGAAATTGTATTGTAAAATATTTAGAAAATATGAAATATCAATTGAAATTAATTTAATTATAATTTATAATTATTGATATATATATTCAAATAAAAATATTCGACAGCACACTACTAATTAATTATGCCGGTTAACAAGTAATAATACAAAATAACAATGCTAATACATAATTATTTCTTGTTATAATGATTTAATAAAATTTGAGAAATTAAATTTTAAATATTATACAATTATTAAAGTTTAAATATTATATAAATATTATGTGATCAACACAAATTGCATCAGATATTCTGTATTGATTGCTGTGTAATATGCGGACGATAAGTTCTACAGGTGTTAATAGATCAGTTACATTGAATAGCAATTAAATTTAATGTGTATTTAAGTACTTATATATTTATTTTATTTAGAAATTCTAAACATAACGTTACATAAGACTTGCAAGTCAACTTTTAAGGTACCATAAGACACGTGTTTTCTTCAATTTATAACCTGTATGTGCTTTTATATAATAAAATTTTACAAATAACAGAAGAAATTATTTATAAATTTCATTTTGCAGGTATCATAAATAATTAACAATATATTACATTTAAAATTTGCTATATATTTTTATTAAAAAATTAATAGACATTTTTGGTTTTAGATCATGCACATCCAAAAAGGAATTGATATATATAGATAATAGTTAAATATTTGCATTTTATATTGTACATTGATTAATCATTTAATTTTAATCTGAAAGAGAACTCTCAGTATTATTATTTAATTTCAAAAATTTAACTTTAATAAAGGTATACTAATTTTTACTAATAACATTGAAAATAACAATTTTATGAATTAAAATAGTAATATTTTTTAAATTTATTATTTTAACGATCTTTTATGTTATTTGTTATTAATTTGCAACAACATTTTCCTTAACATCTTATATAAGTATTAAATTGTTCTTTATACAATATGTGTATGTATATAATAATTTATGTATGTATAAATGTATACATATACTATGTTACATTTTTATTTTGCAACATTATATATAAATATATATATATATATATATATGAGTAAAGATTAGCATATTATATGTATACATTTATATATTATTCTTAATATTTTCTTTCACTATGTTCATTTCATGTAGGCAAAATGGTTTCTCAAATATTTGATGAATCTCCAAAAGAAATACAATTAATTAATTCGGATGATGAATCTCAGAGTCATATACAAACTAATAAACAAGTTAATGGTATCAATAAAGTTCAAATGAAAAAACAACTTGGTCTTTTAGAAGGCATTGCAATTATTTTAGGAATTATCTGTGGTTCAGGTAAAAATTTGTAGTAATTTATGTTTAATAATTTTCTAAAATGACATTTTCCTAATCTTTATCTAATTTATTATAACAAAATTCTGCAGTATATAAATTTTTAATATAACTAATTATTCTGCTTGTAGGTATTTTTATTTCTCCAAAAGGTGTAATCATAGAAGTAGGAAGTGTTGGAGTTTCTCTAATTGTTTGGGTTTTATGTGGTTTACTTTCTATGATTGGAGCATTATGTTATGCTGAATTGGGTACTTGCATACCTCGTAGTGGTGGAGATTATGCTTATATCTATGAGGCTTTTGGTGATTTACCTGCATTTTTGTACTTATGGGCTGCTAACTTAATTTTTGTGTAAGTTACTCTTACTAAAATTGTCAATTTCATTTGGAAAATAATTAACATATTGTATTATTTCTTCATTTTCAGACCAACTACAAATGCTATCATGGGATTAACTTTTGCTGAATATGTTTTGAAACCATTTTTTCCCAATTGTTCTATTCCAGATAATAGTATACGTCTACTGGCAGCAGTTACTATTTGTAAGATGTTTTACTTGCACATAACATATTATTCTCTTTAAGCGTTATTCTTTTATAAGCTTTTATATTATATAATATATTATTTCTTTAATATTATTATTTTTGTAAAAGAAATATTTTTCATACAACATTTATTAAGCAGTATGAGTATCATTTTCATAATTTCAATAATTTAATAGGTTTACTCACATTCGCAAATTGTTATGATGTCAAGGAAACATCTAAAGTACAAAATGTATTCATATTTGCTAAAGTTGGTGCATTAATAATTATAATTATCGCTGGAGTGGTTTGGATAATGTTAGGTAAATATAATTTTAATATATAATCTATTTATGAGGTTGTATTATTTTTATTATTCAGTTGTGCATATTAATAATTTATTTCAGGGCACACAGAAAATTTTGAAAATATCTTTGAAAATACTATTACGGATCCTAGTAAAATCGCAGTTGCTTTCTGTTCTGGTATATTTTCATATTCTGGATGGAATTACTTAAATTTTATGACTGAAGAATTGAAAGATCCTTATGTGTACGTAATATAAAATAAAATAAATCATATTTTTTATTTTTTCAATAATGAATAAATAATTTTGTTTTATAGAAATTTGCCACGAGCTATATATATATCATTGCCTTTAGTTACTTTTATATATGTATTGGCAAATGTAGCTTATTTATCGGTTTTAACACCAACTGCGATGATTGCTTCTCATGCAATTGCTGTGGTTAGTATTATTTTTTATACATTGACTTTATTTAACAAACTATAATTACTCATGTCTAATAATATGTATTTACTGAAACTATTGAAGTCAATCTTTATTAGACTTTTGGAGATCAACTTCTTGGTATGATGGCATGGACAATACCTGTTATGGTAGCTATATGTGCATTTGGAGGATTAAGTGTTCATATTATGACATCATCTCGAATGTGTTTTGTTGGTGCCAGAAATGGACATTTTCCTTCAATGTTAAGTCATATTAATGTTTCGAGACTTACACCTACACCTGCTTTAGTTTTTCTTGTATGTACATATACACATAAAGAACATATTTTATTATATATTTTGAATTAATATTCATTAAAACAAACATGTTTTTTTTATTTTTAGTGTATATTATCTTTAATAATGCTGTGTACAAGTGATATTTTTGTCCTGATTACATATTGCAGCATAGTCGAATCATTTTTTATAATGTTATCAGTAACTGGTGTTTTATGGCTTCGTTACAAAAAGCCGAATATGAATCGACCAATTAAGGTAAATAATTAAAAAATATATTACGCTCTCAGTAAATGTTTTTATTAAAATTATAAATATATTTTGCAGATGCCTTTATGGATCCCTATTACATTTGTATGCATATGTGCATTTTTAGTATTTTTTCCTTCTTACCAAAGACCATACGAAGTTGGAATAGGTGCCTTAATAACTCTGTCTGGAATTCCAGCTTATTTTATTGGTGTCAGGTGGAAAAATAAGCCATTATGGTTTCAACGACTTATACGTATGTAATATCTATATATTTTTAAATGCATTTTTAATTATAATGTGAGGTTAATTCTCGTATTTCTTATATTTCAATAATTTTATGATTTTTACTTTTACAGTTGAAATCACTTACACCGTACAAAAATTATTCTTATCTGCCATCGAGGAACGAGATTACTGATTTATGTATTACGAATATAAAAACAATTTAGATACATTCTGATATGAATTTATGATAATAATTTGCATATTGCTAACACCAAGTGACTTTGGTAACCAAAAATTTATGTAAGATAAATGCGAAATTGCTCTCTGAAGTGTAAGATAACTATTTATAATTATTATTTATTTTGAGGAAATTTTAATTATTCTGATTTACAGATAGAATGATTTGGTTTTCTAATAATCGCATATTTTTTTATACGAATACAGTTACAAAATTATACAATATTTAAAAGTAATAATTTTCTTACAAGTACTCATATACATATTTTCTAAACTCTATTTAAATAAACGGTATTAATTTGAATTAACTATTAAAATTGAGTTTTTTAAGCAACATATATAATAATCTAAATTAATATTTTTAAAGCAAAATATATATATTGATATACAATAATATTAATCATCGTCTTTGTGATACAGATCATCTATGATAAAAAATTTATTTAAAGCTTTTTTAATATTATAATAAAATAATTTCAAAAATAAATTATATAAATAAAAACTTCAATCAGTGTTTGTAATTGAAATTAATTAAAAAATAATATGACAATAAAACTTTCTGTTTATTAGATAACAACAAGAAATTTTTTTACCACACAAATGCGTACGTTCTATTTTTGTATCTTTTGATTACTTATTACATGTATCAATAACATTGATATTTCTGTTATAATGAGCTTTAACTAAAATATATTGTAGTTTACTATATTTATTTACATAATCAAATTTCACATATGCAACGTCCTAGTAGAATATGCTTCTTTTGTTTAACATCAATTTAAAATTTAAACAATATTACATGTCTGTACAAAACAAAATTTATATACATATATTGTATAAAGAAATTGAAATTTTGAAATGTAAAATAATGGAATGTTATATCTATTTTTTCTATGCAATCTATAATGTCACAACAGCATTACATACAGATATTAACAAATACCAAAAAGGTTTATATACACAGATTAATGTATATCTTCTGGATTAAACATTCCCTGTAAAGTAAGATTAGATTATTTAATTAATTGATGAATTTAAAGTAAACATGATAAGTAGATTATATGAATACTATATGAATATTGTTTCATATGAATAATTAAAACAATATTTTTAATAGAATAATAGAACCATATAATTATAAAATCATAACAAACTAATTTTAAATATGTTTAAATATGTTTATTTTAAAATATTTAATATTTAAAATAATATTAGTGTAAAAATGAAACATTACAAATATTCATCTTATAAAATTATGCATGTCTTATAAAAAATTAATAGAAAATAAATAGATAAAATGAATATTTTTATATTAAGTATTATAAGTATTATAATTTTACCTTAGCACGTCTTAGAATAGAATCCTTACTAGCATCATATGGATGATCTTTACTTGGTATTTCTAATACTGACGGTATAGGTTGTGTATGACTATCGATTACATGGCGAATCATTTCAGCAACCTTAAATAAATTATTACAAATATATCAATCATATCATTTAATAATTATGCGTTTAGTATGATTTTTAATAAATATTGTGTATAATAAAAATTTGATTGTCAATTTTATAATGTTATAAATGATGTAAAAGAATTAAAATTTAGTTATTAAATTATTTTTCAAAAAAATGAAAAACATTACTTTTATTTTATAATGCATTGCATTTGTAGTTTAAAAACTTATTGTTATTTTATATAATACTTACATTTTGATTGATAAGTATAATGTCAATATCATCTCGCTTAATGAAACGTTTAAATGTATCTTCTATGTCGCTCACAGCTGTGTCTATAAAGAAAAATATATATGTATATATATATATATATGTATACACATTGAAAATTTTACAATTTTTGAACATTAGTAATATTATTCAACAAAGATTTTAACACAAAATCATAAAACATGTAATTAAATGAAAAATGTAACATTTAAGTTTTAAAAAACTAAAATTTTGTAACACACGTACTTTTATCTACAACCATAAAATTGGGTTGACGATGTTTATTAATTTCACCAACTCCACCCAAAAGAAATCCAACGCAAGTATCCTAAAACGAAATTTTCATAAATATACTTTTGAACATGAAATTCTGAACCTATATTTCTATCAACCTCATCTCCAATTACAGCAAGTAGTTTGCCTTTCCCCGCAGAGTGAAGAGCCATTATTATTATCAATAAATGAAGACTAACAAATTTAAAAAAGAACAATTATTAATTTAACAAATCTTGATATATCAGCTGACAAGTCACACCTACGTGCTTAAGTTACTTGAATATCACGTGCTAAACTTGTCCAATCGAAACGGTATAGTAACTGGGGGATACTGATCAAGTTTAGAAACAGCGAATTCTGAAATAGGCTGGCGTCCTACCAGTACACAATGTAGCTAGATATCTATCATCCCTTTATCTCTTTCCTACATTATCGATCGAAAAAAGATGCAACAATATAATATACCAATAATATATAGCATGCACTAGTAGATGATTTCAAAACGTGTAAACTGTATGAGATATTGTTTTACACATACCAAACCCTTTTAATTTATCAAGCTAAATTTTCATTAAGATGGCTATCTTTTATCATTTTGTGCATTAGTTTATAAGAATAAAAGCACGCAAATTCATGATAATGAGATTAAAAGCATTAAAAAATTCACCCAAAATGTATGACAACTTTAAGATAGTTTCTCTATGTGCGTAACGCGTAATGTCTACGGTTATGTTTCTGTATGTGTTAGAAGAGTGCTGTGTGTGTTTGATATTAATTATATGTATAAATTGGAAGACGGAATATTGTGTTAAATTCTACAATTTCATGCATTGTTTTTCATTATGTTAAATATGTAAAAATATAAAAAATAAGTGATCATTAAAGATATTTCTGCAAACTTGATATACGATTCTACGATTATCATTACTAATTATGTTATTTAGGTTATTATGTTATGGAACTTGAAAAGTTGTTAAAAAATCGTGTATTTTCATATTATATTTATATAATATGAGAACTCGTAACATACATATCGATCTGTGTTAAATCTAAAAAGAAGTGCGCGTTTAATTATCATTTGCTGTTAATAAAATCTCTAACTTGTAAGTCATGACTATTACAACGAGCATAACCCTAAGTAAATATCTGTATTGATAATTTAGATGTGTTTTCTTATGTATGAAATAACCTCCGTAATATTTAATTTTTAATTAAATAATATAAATATATCTTTTAATATATATTTCTAATATTATATTTTAGGAATTACATTTTTTTAACATATGTACTTACTGATTAAGATAACATAATTATCAGTGAATATACAGAATAATATAAGAAAAGATGTCATTTGTAAATAATGCTAATATTTATAAAAAAATGGTTTCTCAAGAGATCATACAAAAACCATGTACTGTAAATGAAACTTCCGCAGAATTTGTGGTTTTATCCAAATGTGAACATGCAGAAGAGACATTGGTAATAAAATAATTAATATTTCAGCAGATTTATATTTAAAAGCTTTTATTATATATTTTTTTATTTTATATTTTTTACTTATGTATTTATAAATTTTTAGTTTATTTGATTAATTATAAATATTATGTACAGGTCGTTGGTGAAGAAATAATTGTAAATGAAAAAGATACTTCTTTTGAAGATGATATGAATACAACAATATCTATAGAATACACAGAAAATCCTACATCGTTATCTACAGAAAATGCAACTAGTCAAAAGTGGCTTTCAAATGATCTGAATAAAGAAGATCTATTGGTAAATATTATTAAATATTCAACATTTTATGATAAACGATTAGAATATATGATGATAATAATGTAATATTGTGATATGGTAGTTATCAGACTCAGAAGAAAGTGAAGCAGAAATATATACTAAAATAACAAATGATGATCAAGATGGAGATGAAGAAACAATAGCCACATTTGTAACTGCTGCTGGTCAACAATTAGCATTATATGCAGTTGAAGATTCAGACGAAATTTTTGCTGTAGCAGTTTATGATGAATCTGGTGAACCACCAACAAATTTTCAATTTCTAATGAAGTATGTTTATTCGTATGTTATATATCAAGTACAGTTAACAATAAATGTAATTCAATAATTACATGTGAAAGTAATAAAATGATTGTATTTACAGAGCAGATGTTGAAAGATTAATAGGTGAAGGTGCAGTTAGGACAGTCAAAAAACCAACACAAATAAAAAGACAATTACTAACTACTCAGTCACCAATATTTTTTTCTAAAAATGAATCAACAAATGATACGTCAATGAGCAATGAAAGTAAAATTACATCAAATGAGAATGAAAAGATACAAGAAAAGGAGTATGTATTGGAAGAAACTCCATGTCCAATGAAAAATTCTAATTTAAATTTAGGTGTGAAACGAGTTCCTAACATTATATATGCAAGAGATGAAAAACAGCCAGATGTAACATACGTGATGATGGATGATTGTTCTGTAAATATGGGTATGTATCTAAAAATAATAATTATTAAATAACGTCTAATATAATAAAACTATTATTAAAATATTAAAATTTTTAACAGACAATTCTGAAGATTATGAGGACGATGATAAAAGTGATGATGAATTTATAGAACAATCAACTGTGCAATATATCTTATTTGAAGGAGATCAGTCAGATTCTGAATTAACATTCGACGAAATTCACAAAACTCTTCAAAATTTAAAATCAAATGCGGCAAAAAAGCAAATGAATAAAAAAACAATTAATAAAGATCAAAATAACTTTGGAAATATTAAAGAAACAGAATATGGAACTTCAATGTACCAAAATTCTAATGTGAATAATAGGATGTCTAATACTTTAACAGAAAGAAAATTAAATCTATTAGATAGTCAACAGGACTTATTAGAGACATTAGCAAATTCATCAGCAGATTTAATATCAAGTAGTACAAATTTAGATATGTCAAATGGTTCAATTGAATATACATCACCCGAGTCATCACAAATACAGTATAAAACTAAACGATCCCGGAAACAACAATTAATTTCCGTGAATCGTGAAGATTCGGAAATTATTATACAACCAGCGTCTCTTGTAACTGAAGAAGAAAATAATGTTAGGAAAAGAGTAAGACGAAATAGAAGAGTTGTGACTCATTCTGGGTATCATCAAAGAAATAACGACTCAAAGAGAATGAAAAAAGTCAAGCGAAAAGAAGTCGAAATTATTGAAATTGATATTGATGAAGAAGAAAGTATTCTACAGTCAGAACGAGAAGTTGTTGAAATAACTATAGATGACACTAAAGATAAATATTCTAGCGATAAAGAAAATGAAATTATAATGGTTGGAGATTCCGACGATGAATCACAACAGCCGAATCCAAAAACAATTTTATTACAATGTCAACATTGTTTAAGAAATTTTAGGCAACAAAGAGCTCTAGAAACTCATTTACGAGTTTGTTCAAAATCGCCATCTAATGCAATACGGTTTAATGAACAACAACTGAAACATGTGAATGGAACGACTGAAGATACTGTTAAAAAACAATACGCTTGTAAAATATGTCAACAAAAATTCGATGTAGTAGTAGCATTAGCTCGTCATGTACGTTCAGAACATTCTCAACGGAAAAAACGTAGATTTAGTAAATTATCTGTTGAACGACCATCTATAGAAGTTAAAGAAAAAAAGGAACACATTGAGCCAAAAAAACAGATGACTATGATTAAAAAAATTAAAAAAAAAAGAAATCAAAGACCAAAATGCACTTGGAAAGTAAAAAAATTAAGTTGTTCTGATTGTGGAAGATGGTTCCCCAGTGCTGCCTTATTAAGAGCACATTGTTTACAGCATGGAACAAAGAAGTCGGGTAAATTATGTTTAAAATAATTTTAGTAATTTACTATGAATATTAAAATAATTGAAAAATATTTATTGCAGAACAACAAATGCGCAGATGTCAAATATGTAAAAAATTAATTAAATCTAGATTACTTTTTGTACAACATTTGAAAAAACATAAAAATTTACAAAAAAATATAAAATCTATACCAAATATTCAAAAAAAGTTACATACTACTAGGTCAGTAACAAGTAAAATTACAACGCTTAGAAAACGAGGTCGTACACGAAAACTTTGATCTCTTCAGACATCAACATGTGAAAGTTCTAGAAATTGGTGATATATGACAAATATTGTTGCTATTTCTTCTAATGTGAAATATGTATAATAATATGTTTATACTTCCAAATGGAAATATTTATATGTTTGTTGAGAAAAAATATCTTTAAATTGCATTAGATACCTAATTAAATATGTATATCATTTAGTTATGTAACTGTATATTATGTATAATTTAAATGTACACTACACATTTGCAGTTTAATGATTATATTGACTAAATAATTGACTTTATTCTTTTTTCTGATCATTCAATTCTTTAAAAAACATCAAGTGCCGAAAATTAATTAAATTTAGACAAATATGAAAATATATAATGTTGTATTAATAAAATGCTTAAAATAAACGATATAGGTCAGTTTTTATTCAGAAATTTAATTATGAATCATTGATACTTTCTCATGTATTAACAATATTATTAATTACTGTAAATAATGATTGTATTAAAAGTACACATACATTTATTAAAATATACTCTTTTATATGTACAAATTATTTAATTTACCAAACATTTAAAATTTTTTAAGTAATCTAAATCTGTAACTCAATAAACATTTAGTTCGTAATTACTAAATATATTAAGTAACTAAAATATTTATAAATTACTAAATAAATACTAAAATATTTATAAATTAAATTCAATACATTTAACATTTTGAAATTTTATTGCTTACATTACTTAGCTAGTGAACGATAATTTTCAGATATCATTACAGAAAGTTTAAACTGTTAAATTTGATCCCTACTCAATCTAGCTCAATGAATATACTTGTTCTTTTTATTTAACAAAGTAATATTTAAAAAAATAACTTTTTTATTTATAACATGAAAATGAATTAGTTTTCTCTAGCTTTCAATCACATAGTTTTATTTATCTGTTCTAATTCGACTTATACTTATGTAGAATACCTGTTTATGTGCTTTTTTAACTTTGAAGAAAACAGAATATATCAGAATTTGAGTATCTATTTTGCTTCATGTGTTATATATGTATATATAAAATTAAATTATTAAATTGCAATCAATTTTTGTACTTTATAATATAATAAAGTACAATATGATGCAATAATTTTATAGTGAGATTATAATGATTTATTATACATCAATTTATTTCTAACAAGAACTATTTGTATTTTTTAAAATGTATAAATTTATAATAACTTGTTTTTTTTATCGTATATATTTTTTGAATCTCCTAAATTAAAATTGGCATTAATTAATATATGCGTTACTTAGAAAAATGTTGGAAGATTATTTAAAAGGAATGTTGATCTAATTAGTTATTTTTGATAAATCCAATACAATCATAAAAATTTACAAATATATATATATATATATCTATATATATATATATATATATATATATATATATATATATATATATTCATATACTAATGTATGCATATATATCATATCGAGTATCAGAAATAACCAATCACTTGCATTTTTTCGTTTTCTAAATGCGCGATATATATATTTTCGTCGTTGATCAGTGTTTAAATGATTTAGGTTATAAGCGTATTGATGTATGTATGTTTCAAACACGCACTAGGCAAAGAAAAATAAAAACAAGTGAAAAAAAATATTGTTCTATTCAAATTATATATAAAAATGAATAATCCGAAGAAAAGAAAAGCTGCAGAAACAAAAAATATTAAGCAAAAGACTAATAACAGTAAAGTAACAAATAGTGAAACAATAACAATAAATCAGGAAAACCCGAAATTAAATACAAAGTGGACTAATAGTGATAAAAAAATATTATTAGAAGGTTTAAAAAAATATGGATCTGAAAATATTGAAGCTATATCAAAAATGTTACCAAATATAACTTTTGAAGATATTGAATGGAAAATTGCTGAATATTCTGAAATGGCAGAATATTTGTATGAACATAAATTAATAAACAACTGGATAAGTTGTGGACTGTTTGAATCTGGAGATAGCCTTGTACCAGAAGCATTATTATTTATACATCTATTTGAAAAGCATCCATCTCCCTCTGAAACAGAAGGTTTTGATTTTAGGTATATGAATTGTTTGATTTATTTACAATAGGTTATTAATTAGTTTATAAATTTATATATCATACTAACTATCATAATACTATAGTTCAATTATTAATAATTACATATGACTATTGCAGAGCAATATATAGCTTCCTTTATCGATCATGTCTGGAGCCAGTATCATATTTTGATTTATCACCAAAAGATAGAGATTTGCTATGTATTTTGCTATCAAGATTAGAACACAAGATATGGCCAAAACAGCAAAAAGATATTTGGGAATATGTTGGTAACACATACAATAAAAGATATATAAAGAAAGTATATCCAGGAAAAAAATTTCCAGGACAACTTTTGTAATATTATAATTATGGCTCTTTTATACATTCATATGTACTATGTATTTTGTTTGAATATATCTTCTGCTGTGATAGAAAATTATTTTCTTTATTTATATATCATGAATGAATACACATTTCTGTCTAATAAAATAACTTCTATTTTATGTAACAGATCTTATATTAAAGGTTACCTTATGTAAATTGTATAAAATGATAGAAATAAATTTATTTTGAGAAATATTCTATATTGTAAATAATTACAATCAAAATAATAATATACATTCACTTGATATATATTATTACATAAAGTAATTGTTTTACATTTTTTGTAAAAAAAAATTCTATGTAATATATTTTCATCTTTTTTTAGCTTAATGAGTGTATAAATTACATAAGAATAATGATATAGCAAATAATATCACTAAATAATATCATAAATAATATAAATGTAAAATGAAGCAAATGATTAAGACAAACGAAATGAATTAAATAAAGTAAACATATAGTAACAATATATTCTTGCACTTTAATATGGACTAATTATAAAGCAAAATTTGGAATATAGCTTGCAATACGTGATGTTTATTTATACTTTTGGAAACGCACAATATATACACGCATATACATATTTTAATCGTAAATGGCTATTTTTTTAATAATATGTATCCATATATATTCTTAACGTTAAAAAGTTAAAACGCAGAATAAAAATAATTTCGCTTTAATAACTGCTGTTACATTGCTTTATACAAGTTCAAAATCTTTAAGATAAAGATAAACAAGATATTGAAAGATTTTGAACAAATTTTTTGATAAAAATTTCCTAATTAATAAATAATAATTAATTTTTTAATATTTCCCATGCATCATCTTCAAGTTTTGAATCCCAGTTGGATGCATGATTGTCAGTACTAAAGTTGATCAATATTTCTTCTTTATTTTTTGTTTTTCTTGGAATTGGTTTAGAATCTGTTGTTGGGTTACTTTGTTTCATATCATTACCCCAATCCCATTCATAATTAGAAGAATTTGCAGTTAATACATTAGTTCTAAAATAGTTTAAATTATAATTAATTTATGAAGTTGACTCTAATGATTTAATTCTAATATTTAATTTTATATATTTATTAATAAAACTATTATTAACTTACTTAGGCTGTGACGTTTTCATTAAAGATGTTTTTTCAGTAGAATGATACTGAGCTACATCACTATTTTGATAAGTAGTGGAAGAACTCTGATAATGTTCCTTTGAATTATATTGATTTTGTTCAACTGAATTAGTTCCTCCAATGTCACCCCATCCTCTTCTTCCTAAATCTCCCACCTATTTTAAGATAATTAATAAGTTTAATTAGTTTTTGGATTTATAATTAATTAAAAAAAAAATTAACTGTTGAAATTTGATCATTTCAAAAAGAAAAGAAAATTTACTTATTACAATATTTAACAAGCACTATCAATAAAAGCATTTTAATATACAGCTATCTACCTTAGCAGCTATACTATTAGCTTGACTTCCAACTTCTTCCCAAAAAGTACCATCACGTACCTAACGAAAACAAAATAAGACGGAAACAAAAAATTTAATTTTAAAAATTAATATTACACTATATATAAACATAAATGCTAAATGTAAAATAAATAATTACTATTAATTTCATTTGCCATTGAATAATAATTTAATAATTTATTTTATAATAAGAAACACGATGCAAACATAAATAGAAATAGAAATAGAAATATAAATGTAAATATAAATAGATAGACCTTTTGTATGGCTAACTCTCCAGTTCTAATAGCATTTTCTGTAGCTTTACTTGCTATTTTTGATGCTGATGAAGAAAGTATTGACCAACCCTAAAAAATTGCATATTGATTTAATTTGATAAATTTTATATACACCAACTGTATTAAATATAACTGTTATCTTACACTTGCTAAAGAGGATACTGCATTGTCAAAAAGTTCTTGTGATGTACTTCTAGGTGGTGGATTCATTTGGTAACCAAAACCACCATATTTGCCACCTTGACTAGGTGGAATATTGCTTTTAAAATATTCATATTTTATTATTATTATTTTATATATTTTATCATAAAAGATTATTAAAATCACTTAATTATGTTTCACTTATCAAAGTTACAATTTAAATAATATTAAAACTAAAACTTACTCTGGACGATTAGCATTTTCACTTTGTTTTCTTGCAAAGAAAGCTTCTGTTTGGGACTTACAATTATTTGAATTAAAATTTTGATAAGAATTTGTTATATCACTTTGATATGAAGAATAGTCTTGTTGATTTTCTGAATACATTGAAGCTTGAAAATCCTTAACTGTAGATGTAGTTGGACTCCAGCTTTCACCACGTGCTAATGTTGCGATCTAATTATACAACATAAAATTTGCTTTTTTTCTGAGTTTTGAGAAAGATATTAAACATGGATTATATGTTATTATATTAATTTGAATAATTTATAATTTAAAAATTATTTCAAAAATATAACTTTATAGCAATTTACATTTATTACATCCCTTTGTTACAATATATTTAAGAAAAGATTTGTTTAGATAGTATAATAGAAAATATAGAAATTAATGATTAAAAACAAAAGTATATTTACCTTATCTCTATATAATGCTGCTGCTTTAGTATTATACTTTTGTGTTATTGACATACTATCATCCCAATCAGGCTGTAATTCAAAAAATTCACGAGCATTTCTATTTCCACCAACTCTCATTTTTTCTAACTCCAAGTCTTTCCATTTATCCATAGAAATGGATCTAACAAATGACAAATGTACTCCAAGTCCTCTGTGTTTGCCTGAACATTCAAGACAAATCCATATACCATATGTGACAGAAACCCATTGAGGATTGTGAGTTCCACATTCAAAACATTTCTGTAAAACACAATGAAATTCAATTAACATATGGAATATTGTGAGTAAATAAAATGAACAAATTACATTGTTTTCATCTTTTGGTTTAAGTTCACTCAGAATTCTCCGTGTTCTTGGACTAGCCATATTTTCTGTCGCTAAAACTCAAATAAAAAGTCGTGTCCAATATTTAATTTTTAAATTAAATACACCATACTAAACTTGTCATTAATCTCTTGGAGAAAGCATATTTCAATTTGTCAAAGATAGGCGAATAAAAAAGATAATTCCGATATTAATTACTTGAATTCTATCGTAAGAATAAAATAATAAATGTATTATTTATATGTAACCAAATTGAACATAATGTCATAAAGTTTAAGAAATTAATCATTTCATTGGATATCTCGCCTCCATAAGAGGAAAGTAGGAAAGTACTAGCAAGAAATAATAATAACTAAAAATTCAAGTACGTGTGTTTCTAAAATATACCACTAAAGAGCGGTAGATATCAACTATATTCTTTTATAATCATATAAAAATATGTAAAAAATATGTGAAAATATTTCTGCATCTATTTGCAATAAAAAGAATTATTTTTAATTGATATATATCACAAGGAAATGTAGAAATGTTATAAAATATAAAAAAATAACAAAAAAGGCGAACTCATAATTATTCTTTTCCTCCTAATAAAAATCTATGGAATAAATTTTGAAAATTTAGATTATCGCTATTTTATATAGAACAAATAAATAAGTTTATACGCATGAAATTTTGCGTAATATGATCGCTAATCCTTACCAATCAAATAATGAAGCATTTATTTCATGTAAACTACGCTTACTTGTTGAAAGAGCGCATGCGCAACCCCACCCACTGTTCATGACAAATGCAACTTTTACTTCCGGTTGACTTCAGCTTCTGCACAAGGTTTTTTGGGTATAGCAGTATTCTTGCGTGGTGCTTCTGTTATCCTACATCATCCGTGAGTTTTCTCAGCTGCATTTGCACTTTGCAGTTCTATATCTCCCGGGGATATATTTTGTTTGTCGTATGTCCATCCAGAATCTCAACACATTCGGTAAATATTATATTTTCTATTTTGTAGTACTGATCATATTGTAGAAGATAGTTTTATCAAAATGGCGATGGCGTCTTTTGCTTGCATCATAGTACGCAATTAATATTTAACAACATTTCTCTAGCAATCTTTTGGAATGTTATCCATTTCAGAAGAAAAGTTGTTAACAATTAAAAAGGAGATTTGATAAAATTTAACGTAAATAAATTATTCGTTTTTTTTTTCAGACCCCTTTGCAGATGCAATCAAGGGTTCAGATGATGATGTCCAAGACGGTCTCGTGCATATAAGGATTCAACAACGAAATGGTCGTAAGACCTTAACAACAGTACAAGGACTTTCATCTGAATATGACTTGAAGAAAATAGTGAGAGCATGTAAAAAGGTAACGAAATTATATTTACTTTAATAATTTTTGATAATTGAATTCTTTGTCAGTGTCAGATACTATGCTAAAAATAGAACTGATGCAAACAACTGTTCAGAGTTAAACTATAATTGCATACGACATTATAAAGTTATATTCGTAGTATATACAAAGTTTTTTTTAGAAAATTTATTTAATATAATATTTTCATATTTTAAAATATTTTTTACAAAATAAAATATTAATATATTTGACGTATTATATCTATATATTGTAAATATAATTTTATAATTATTTTAGCAGATATTACTTTTAAATAATTTTTGAATTTTTTTTCAAAAATAATTATAAATAATTCAAAATTCTTTATGTAAGTCTTAAAATATTGGTTTATATAATCTTATTAAAAGTTTTATTAAATTTTACAACATTTATATTTTTATTATTTTAAACTTTTTGAAATATTGTTTTATAATGTAAATTCAATTAATAAAATATGTAATAAATTAGAATATTTTATTTTTTTTAAGCGATTTTTATTTACGTATGAATATTTTAAATAAATCAGCAGAAAAAAACAAAATAAAATTATTCATTATATAGGAGTTCGCCTGCAATGGGACAGTAATCGAACACCCGGAGTACGGAGAGGTGTTGCAGCTGCAGGGGGACCAGCGAGAAAATATATGCCAGTGGCTAACAAAGTCGGGTCTGGCCAAACCTGACCAACTCAAAGTCCATGGTTTTTAACTAGCAAACACCCATGCCACTATCTAAGAACACTCCACCTTCATCAACACCTTATCATCTTAAATTATTTGTATCAGTCACTAATACTTGTTGATACATCGTGAGATATCCTATTATATACACATATATATTTCAATAAAAAATATATAACAGTAACGATATAGGCACAATATTCTAATCAGACATTTGTAAGATTGTAGGAAGCAATATTTTACAGCCTTATGTTAGGTGTAATCCACTAAACTCATCACATTTTAAAGTAGTAGCGATAACTAATTAGTGATTTGAGAAAATACTTATACAAGGAATAGATACAAATAGCAACGGATGGCTCTTTTTTTTGGGATTAGGTAGTATGTATCTTGGCGCTATAGATGTGTTCAGAGAAAGAAGAGGGAGAGAGAGATATATATATAAAAAAAAAGTTATTTTAGGTCCCAGATTGGCTTATTGTGTGTAGTGCTGAATGCTTAGTTTTGTTTATAATAAGGGAACAGGCCTGGTTTTTTTACATTGTCATCTCCAAGTTATGTGCCTTTAATTCCATATTAATTGTATTATTTATTGAAAAGATTGTCATTTATTGTAATGAATTTATTTTGAGGGAGAATTGCCAATTTTTTCTTTTTTTGAACCAGTATTGACAACGTAAAAATAACAATTGTTTTAAATAAAAATGTGGCTGTTCTAAATAAATGGTAATTCACCACTATTTGGATTTTTCCTTTTTCCTTTTCATGTAATTTTATTGCTAAGTTTTTGAATCTTGAAATTAATAGTACTTAGAAAACTATGTATTAAAATTTAAGAATAAATACAAAAATTAATAGCATTTTAAAAAAAAATTACCTTAAATTCTTGTTCACAACTTAAATAAGATTACATTAATATGATCTTCAATTTTTTTTTAATGGACTACAGCTATGAATTACATTTAATTGATGATATAATTATAAAAAAAATTTTTTTTTTCTAATATTTACAGAAAACAATATTGAAATTTAATAATATATTTTAATAAAAAAGTAATGACACTGATCAGATAGATGAGAAAGAATTAATACTTACAGATTGCCTGTGTGTATGTATGAAATTCGTACTATGAACGTCTATAGTTGTCTATAGAGTTTTTTTTTAATTATATAAATGCGTCAGGGAATGTAATAGTTTTATATTAAGTTTGGATTAAGTTTAATTAAAGATTGGTAATGGAAAGTAAGACACAATTATTTAGCAGAACTGTATTTATTAACATATTGATAGAGATGATATAGAATTTCGAGTGAATGAATAGAGTAATATTCTATGAAATGTTTCTAAAGATTTAAATTTACCGGGTATACGCGAGTCATGACAATCTAACCACCAGATATCACTATAGTCGAGCTACATACTTACGACCCACAATGCACCGAGCTACGGCATGTGCCTTTCTGTGTCGGCCATTTTGTAGTTTCCTTGAGAAATTGTGTTGAGTTGATTCATCTTCTCGGTAAGAATTTTATAAAATTCTAAAACGGCGCGACTCACATTGATCCAAATGATGTAGAGGATTGAGGGCAGATGCTTATGGCTAACTATTCATAGCTTGAGAACGAGGAATAAGGTTGCGTTTTTTGCGCACAACCGTGTGCGCTCACGGTACTTACACCCGAAGAACGAGCCAGTAAACGAAGCTGCCGAGAACACCTATTGATAAAGGCACATGGAATCCGGGATTGTTTCGGAATGAATGGTGATTTCGGTAACGATATACGATACCCATAAGTGTACTGTCCAAGTGATTGTCACCATATCTGCGTGCGTAAACGTGTTGGCCCGGCCAACGTCTCGCTCTATATTTGGCTAATCGCATCCAACATATTGCATATCTTGCCTTTTCAAAATTTTTACTTTTCATGCCGTAACCTTTTCCAAAGAACTATATCAGAAGGATACAATGTGACGTTTAAGTGTGAATGCTTGACGATTGCACATTGGTACTGAACAAGACCAAATCTTAGCATGTGGCACGGTTTGTACGATCAACATTAAATTTTTACTTTCAACAGAATCAGTGGAACAGTTTCGTTTTACAATTATGATTTTAAAATGTGTTTTACGGTATTTTTCGTCTTATACGTAGAATCGAGAAGTAATTGTCCGAAAAATAGTTATTCTACATTAACATCAAAAAAATATGGAATCTCTCTGTTATTACATTTATTCCTTTATGGTTTATCGAGATTTCATGTAAATAAATTTTGTCTAATTCAAATTTGTCTATATATATGCACGCACACGCGCGCGTGCACATACACACGCACGCATACGAACATGTATATGCATTTGAGCATGCACGTATACGCCCGCGTGCGCGTGCGTGTGTCACATCAGAGAGCACATACACAGAGGCATGTACACATCATGCACACGACAATGCTATTGAATATAAGAACGCGCTCGCGCGCACATTATACGTGTGACATATGACATATACATCCTTGTCCGTATATATGGATTCAAATACGCGTGTTCGTATATATATATAGATACTACAAATGTATTACATCAGACTAGTATGTTGTGCATATTACATCTGTACTTCTAATCACATTTCTGGAAAGTATTTCTTTTTAATAAAATAATTTAATAGTGGAACATTACATTTTGTTTGTAATGTCTTGGAACAACAATTATCTAATTTTGGAAAATTATTGAAAATTATTTAGGATTTGAAAATTGTTTAGGAAATGATGAATTATTGTAATTATTTTATATGATTTCAAGATAACTTGATATATATATATATTCTTAATAATATAAGTACTACATTAGTTAATTTTTTTTTAATATAACAAAGTATTAAGTCGTTTTTCAAGATTATTGATTTATTTGATTATTTATGAAATATGAATCTAATATGATGATTATTATATAGAATTAAAAAAAATTATAGAAGATAGATTTCTTATATTATTGTATTCATAATATAGATATTTGCTTAATAAGACTTGACAAAGTTTTATTACTAATGTATTAATGATATATTTGATTATGACTGTTGATTGTAATTATCTACTTTTGATTCGTTACATTAAAATGTACTAAAATAATATATAAACACTGATTTTTATAAATAAAGTTAATATCAATAATTAATTAAATTCTATATTACATGTTACAATATGTGATATATGTATATTATGTATTGGACATTAGTTGTTTTTATTATATATATAATAATATGTTATATTTTTGTTGCTAATTACATCTTGTATTTTTCATAGGGTACGTGTACATGAATGGGGACATTGGCAAGCTCCCACCAGGGGCGGTCTATCCAGCCACCCCTGAACCTTTGGGTTCTGTTGGGGGTGCAATTGGAAGTACTGCATCCAATCTGGAATATAACATCATGAACGGAGTACCAAGTGGAAATGAATTGATATTGGAGGCAGGTGTTGGTAATTTAGAACCTTCACTGCAACACGCTATAGGTATAGGAGGTGCTGCAGGTTATGGTCCAGTGGATGTTGCTCCTTTAGGTGATGTGCCAAATCAGCCTGCTCCAATGGGTGACTTATCTGCCCCTGGTATACCATTGGAACAACTTAAACAAATGCTCTCTTCACAGCTTGAATATTATTTCTCCAGGTATATACCCTTAATCTTTTTATTTAATATATAATTTTAATATTATATAGAATTTTATTGATTATTGTTAATTGTGATAATAGTGACATTAGAATAGTTATCATATTCATATAATAATGTAACATGATCTTAATTTGTTGCAACATTTTTATAATTGTGTAAAATTACTAAATAATCTTTAGTATATTTTCTTTTTTTTTATTATATTTATATTTTATTTGTATGAAATGTTCTAAAAATACTCAATAATATATATCATTTATTTTATAATAGTATATCTTTTTTTTATTTTTAGAGAAAACTTAGCTAATGATACATATTTATTATCACAAATGGATAATGATCAATATGTACCAATATGGACAGTAGCAAATTTCAACCAAGTGAAAAAATTAACAAAAGATATAAAGCTTATAACGGAGGTTCTAAGAGAGTCTCCAAATGTACAAGTTGATGAAGAAGGGCAGAAAGTAAGACCTAATCACAAGCGATGCATTGTGATTCTTCGTGAAATACCAGACAGTACGCCATTAGAAGATGTAAAGGTGAAAAAATTTATTTTTTTTAAATATCAAACATTGTTATAATACGTTTATCTAAAAAAAAATTTATTCTATTAATGATGCTAATCCTCGATAGATTAATAAAATAATATTTTTATTTATAGAATTTATTCTCTGGAGAAGGATGTCCAAGGTTTATTTCATGTGAATTTGCCCATAATAGTTCTTGGTATGTAACTTTTGAATCTGATGAAGATGCTCAAAAGGCCTATAGGTTTTTACGAGAAGAAGTTCGGGAATTTCAGGTAATATTAATTTAAAAAAGTAATTCATTTTTTAATTTAATAAAAATTATAAAAAACGCTAAAACATATCAGTTAATTGTATAAAATTATATTTATTATTTGTGTCTATATATTTTCATTTTGTTTTAATAAAATTAGTATATATTTACATGGTTAATATTTAAATTAAAAAAGAGTATTTACAAAAATTTATTTTATTTTGTAGCAATTAATAATTATAATTATCTATTTTTATTAATTGTTCATGAACAAAAAATAATATATTATATAGAAATATAAATTATATACAGATTTGTTTTATTTATAATATTGAAACTTAATATTTATTATGTATAATTTAGGGAAAGCCAATAATGGCTAGAATCAAAGCTAAACCAATGAATAGGCTACCAATCCCTGCAGTTGCCAGTGTGGGTGGTATTAAAAATGGTTATAGAACACCACCACCACCACCTGTTTATGATCCAAATAGTTATACAGCTGGACAGCAACGCTTCCTTTATACAAATGGTACTACTATGCCACAAACTACCATGCCGCCATATGCCAATCAGGTTCATGTATATGTAAGTAATGGTCACGTACATGTAAATATTGTATTAGAAAAATTTAAATTATACAATTAGATAATTTACTTACACTTTCAGTTTACTTTTATTTGTTAGTTTAATATAACGATATCATGTATTGAAGATTTAAAAAATTTTATATACTTTTTACAGCATCAACCATTTTATCCTCCTGGAATGATGCCTTGGGGACCTGCGAGTCCCGCTTATTTCGATATGTCAGGTGTTTTCATGAATGGTATTACACCACATAACACGTTTAAACCACACAACACAAGATACACTCCTCGTCACAGGTATTGACATTAATAATTATTTTAGCAACGTAAAAATATGTATTATTTGTTTTACAAGAGAGTAAATAATAATAAAAATAATTTTTCTGTAAGCAGTACTTACAAAAATTTATATATATGCTTGAATATATACGTATATGTGATACAGAAATAAGCAAAGAAATGGCTCTGAAAGACCAGGCTTGATGGATGGCGGAAGTAATATGGTGCCAATGGGACGTACTTCACATCCGCCTATGAGTGGGGCACCAATATCTTTAGGAGTAACAGTTCCAACTTTTACTTCGAGCTTACCTACGGTGAAGCCAACTTCTTCTTCCTACCAAACCGGCACAAAGTTCCATTCCTCACATACAACTGCAGCGACTGGAGAGACCCATTATAATAGTAGTCATTCGAAAGG